CACCGGTGCTGGCTGTCAGTGACCCAGAGCGTGCCTGCTTGAAATCCTAGTGACCTTTTTAAAATTTTAAATCCTAGCTGGTCAGTTCTAAAATTCACACAGACGTGTAAGGGATCTAGAGTTGTCAGCACAACTTTAAAACTTGTCAGGTAGGCTCTCACAAGGCTATTTTTCATGCAATACACGAAATATTCTTTGAGCATAGGACCCCCCCCATCACACCCAGTTATTCTACTACACCGATTAGTTCATTTATTTTCTTAATTTTTATATATAATTTACTGCTGGGTATGGTGGCGCATGCCCTTAATCTCAGCACCTGGGAGACAGAAGTAGCCAGCTCTCTGTGAGTTTCAGGCCAGCTTAGTTTACTTAGAGAGTTCTAGGACAACCAAGGCTACATAGTGAGACCCGACCTGAAAAATTTTTTATTACTACATTTGTGTGTGTGTGTGTGTGTGTGTGTGCGTGCGTGCGTGTGTGTATGAATGTTGAAGTCAGAGAACCGCGTGCAGGAGTTGATGCCCTTCTCCTCCCATGTAGGTAGGTCCTGGGGACAGAACTCTGGCTGTTGTCTCGGGAGCAATGCCTTTACCCACTGGGCCATCTGGCTGGCTCTTACATTTGCTTTCATGTCACCTGTACATGTGCGACTTTAATGCGCCCGTATAAAACCCAGGACTCAAAAATAAAAAAGAAAGAAAGAAAGCATATTTGCCTTTCTGAGACTGGATCTCAGTAAATAGCTCAGTCTGGACTTGACTTTGTCATCCTCCTGCCTCAGCCTCGTAAGCACTGAGATGACGGGCCTGTGGCACTGGGCCGCAGGTGCCAATACAACTTTGCAGGAGAACGAAGAACCGTGATGCGACTTGGGCTTGGGGCTCCTCATGCAGCACTGCCCGCCGTGAGAAGCCCGACACATAGAAAGCACCTGGGACCCTTGTCACGTGCCATCTGCTGAGCTTCAACGCCCCCTCGTGTGGAAACTAGTTGCTATAGGAACCAGGCCAAGAGGTGATTAGATCACAAGGACCCCTCCCTCCTGGGTCCCGGGTTGGCACCGTCATAAAAGGGGGAATCTGGGGACTGGGGAGATGGTTCTGCAAGGATTCAGTAGCTGCACAAACAGGGGTACATGAGTTTGGATCCCTTCAGAACCCACATAAAAGCAGGGTGTGGTGGCAGGTGATTCTAATCCATGTGCTAGAGCACGGTGGCCGGCCAATCTAGCCGATCTGTGACAAAGTTTAGTGAGAGACTATCTCCAGAAATAAAGAGAATGACAGCCCAATACAGTGACATCGACCTCAGGCCTCAGGGGGTGTGTAAGCGTGAATGTGCACATGCATACACATATGTACAATACACACAAGCACACCCCAAACCTCAAGTAAAGGATTGCTGTTGCCTGCTTGTCTCTCTGGCCCTTTGACATGTTAACACAGCAAAAATGTCCTCACTGGGTGTCAGTTCAACATCAACGGCCACCAGAACTGTGAACTGCTAAGTTTGCCTCTTATGAGTGTTTGCCTGTGTGTATGTATGGGCACCACGTGGGTGCAGTGCCTGTGGAGGCCAGTAGAGGGCTCTCTGGGTCTCCTGGACCTGGATTTGCGGACAATTATGACTTTCCACGTGAATGCTGAAAACTGAATCTGGGTCTTGGGCAAGAGAAACCTGTGCTCTTAACTACCAAGCCATCTCTCTAGCCCCCTCCTCCTTTTATGAGAGAGGGCTCGTCTAGCCCAGTTTAGCTTGAAACTCACCAAATAGCAGAGGGTGACCTTGGATTTCTCTTCCTCCTGGCTCTGTACACCAAAAGTTAGGATTACAGGTGTGGAGCGCCATGCACAGGGTATGATGCTGGGGATGGAACCCACAGCCATGTGCATCCCAGGCAAGCAAGCGCCCTACCAACTGAGCTACGTCCTGGCTTTGTTTGCTCTCCTTTTAAATTGTCCAGCACCAGGTGTTCTGTGACAGTGGCACCGCAGGCTGAGACCCAACCGCAGATCCAGGAACTCACCAACAGGAAGCCCTGCCTCCAGGCTGAGGGCTGCAAACTCATATATCTCCTAATTATGTTCACAACAAATCTCCATTCTGTGAACAGCACCCCTGTCTCCCTCCCCACCACACACACACACTTCAAGTAAAACTCTTTAGTGACTCCAGAAAGAAGGGGAGCCGGGGGATGGAAGACAAGCCAAGAAGAGCACCAAGAGACAGGCAGCCCCCAATAGTGTCCCAGCCTCTGGTTTCTATAGCTCCCACCTCCAAGAGACAGGCAGCCTCTAATAGTGTCCCAGCCTCTGGTTTCTATAGCTCCTACCTCCAAGAGACAGGCAGTCCCCAATAGTGTCCCAGCCTCTAGTTTCTATAGCTCCCACCTCCAAGAGACAGACAGCCTCCAATAGTGTCCAGCCTCTGGTTTCTATAGCTCCCACCTCCAAGAGACAGGCAGCCTCCAATAGTGTCCCAGCTTCTGGTTTCTATAGCTCCTACCTCCAAGTGACAGGCAGCCTCCAATAGTGTCCAGCCTCTAATTTCTATAGCTGGCACCTCCAAGAGACTGGGCCAGGGAGAGAAGTTAGACCATACGGGCCCAGCAAGCCCAGGGCCAGTGGGATCTTCAGGCTGCCCCCGGGATGGACGGAGGCTCACTGAGTAACTGGGAGGGTACAACATTGCCAAGGTGGGGGGGGTGAGGGGTGAAAGCAGGAAAGAATGGATGCTGTTTCAAGTTGCCTGAGAACAGGCTCCTTGGACCCTTGTCCAGCCATTTTAGGTTTCTCTGCCCTTGAACCTCCTTCCTCAAAAATTTCAAACCCATCTACCGGGGGATGAGAGAGGAGATGTCAACATTTCCCTGCCGTCCTCCAATCGTCCCCTCCCTCCAGCGAGTGGGAAACCCCAGCAATTCCTGGTGTTCGCCACCAGCAGATCCTGAGATGTTCAACATGTTCATATCTGTCGAAAACCATTCACGAAGAAAAGAGAAAGTCTTTATACCTTTTATTCAGCCAATTTTCCCCGAGGCACTCTGGGCTCTCTAAGAAAAGAGAAAGAGAAAGCAGAGAGAATCACAATCAGCCTAGCCCTTGCGCCTCTGGAGCCGGGTGCTGCCGGCTCACGGGGAGGTGAGGAGGGAGAGGCAGGCAGGAGCACCCTCTCCAGGGAGGAGAGGGCCTGCCTGGGTGAGGAGGACTCCATTGCATCTCAAGCTTGGCAGGAAGTCAAGATGCCACTTAACATGCAAAGATGGAGAGACACAGAACCAGGGACTTCACCCAAACTTGTGTCTCCTGTGACTTTGGGATGTTTCAAGTTTTTCCTTTTCTTACTTCAGACCCCAGCCCTAAGTGGTCCTGAGTACAGCCACAAATGCTCCACTCTGTGGATGTTTAAACAGGATGTTGGGTCTCAGCCTGGGCTTCCACTGCTGTGAGGCGACTCGTATGCGTCGCCGAAGAGGGCGGTGCTGTGTCCCTGCGTTTTCATCTTACGCAGGTTAATGCTAATACCCGTTAGAGGAAAGGCAGCCATTACTGCTACACCCATGATCTAGAAGCACCTGTTGCGTGCTGTCTGAAATTAGGTGCAACTTCTGGTAGCTTGCGTTAGCGGGAGTGAACTGCAGACAGACCGTGTTCATTCACACTGCTAGACATGCAACCTGCAGCCAGAGGATGCACAGAGGGAATTCATGGTCTGAGGGTTTCACACTCTGTGCTGGTCACTAATTCCAGCATCTCAGGAGGCCGCTCGGGAGCTTAGAAACAGAATGAGTGTATGAGAGTGTGCATGTGTGATGTATGTATGCACATATGTATGCATGTATGCATATATGCGTGCCTGCATGTTTACGTACCTGCAAGCGCACAATGTGTGCTCTGCAGCTAAATGTGTATTCTCTTTGTTTACGTTTGTGAAGTCTCGGAATCCTCTGTGTACACAGTGTTCCAGAACTTTTTATTGTAGTCACGCACACACAACAGCTGTCATCTCAGGTATTTTTCAACGCGCAGGTCGGAGTTTGCAGTGTCGCCACTGCCTGCCTCCAACATGCTCCCATTTCTCCCAAAACCAATTGTGTGCGAGTCTTTTTGTTTTTAATTGTTATTTACGTGGATTGGTGTTTGCCTGCTTGTCTGTAGGTGTACCGCACGTGTGCAGAGCCCCTGGGAGCCAGAAGAGGGCGTCAGATATTCTGGACCTGGAGTTCCAGGCTGCTGTGGGCTGCTTGAAGTGGGTGCTGGGAACAGAACCCTGATCCTCTGCAAAAGAAGGAAGTCCCTGGGGCTGGAGGGATGACTCTGCTCCCCCAGTGGCTTCAGGTCAGTTGCCAGCACCCATGTGGGGGTGGCTCACAGCCATCCACCACTCCAGTTCCAGGGTATCCGGCATCCTCTTCTAACCCCCGGGGTTCCAGGCACATAAGTGGTACGCATATACACACGCAGGCAGAATGCTCACACGCACAGAAGAAAACAAGTGCATCTAAGAGTAAAATGAGAGCTTCAAAAAGCCAGCCAGTGCTCTTGACTACCAAGCCAGCTCCCCAGTCCCTGGAAGCGATTTTTTTTTCTTTTTCTAACTTAGCAGAAGCAAGATGAAGTGAAGTGCTCCTGGGCTGAAAGGTAGTTGGACTGGGCTGCTTTCCTGAGCTCTAGAAAAATCACCATCATTATCTCTGTCCACATCGCCATGAAGAGCAGGTGGCTGTGGGCATTTGTTTTGCATGGGCCTCATCCAGCCCTCTCCACAGCCACAGACGGAAGGCCCTTTCTTCCCATTCCCGCTGCTTTTCATACGAGAAAAACACCGAGGTCCTAATTGACAAACCACCCCCAAGCGCTGTAGCCTCTCTTTTGAAGGTGGGAAGATGCACCCTTCGCCATGGGAAGCAAGAATGAAAATGGGCTTGGCTGGCTCTCTGCTGGAGTCTGTGAATCTCCATGGTAACACCTGGGTGTTTCATAAACAAGGGACCCAAGAGCCGCGGCAGGGAGGGCTGTGGGCCAGGGGCAGCTGAACTGGAACTAGGCACTGGGGAGGCTATGGCTGAGGAGGCCGGCCCAGGTAATACAGCCGAGGGCACTTTGGCGCTTGAAATGCCTTCGCGTCTACGGAACTTAGTGGGGCAGGTGTGTTGGAAGGCGCTGCGAAAGCGAGACACTTTGAAACAAGATGGATGGATGGAACGGGTGGCTCACACCAGTTGCTGCCTCGCTCAGCTCGGGGGCGGGGCGGGGCGGGGCGGGGGCGGGGTGTGGGTGGGGCTAGCCTCAGTGCTGGCTGACTCCACACTGGGGGATCTGTCCTTCCAGCTCCGTATGGTTTTACCTCCATTCCCTCCAGCCCTGGGGGCACCCACACACAGCCAGAAACCTGGGTCTGCAGCTATGTCTTGAGAAAGGGAAGGGGTCCACCGCTCTGATGGGGAGTGGGTCTGTGGGCAGAGCCAACAAGAGAGCTGGCGATGCAGGCCTTTGCCTTCCCTGTACCCCTTTCCTTCCTTCTGCTAGTGCTCCCTTATGCCTGTGTCTGATCCCTTGAAGCCCCCTCAGCCCTCTCTGGGCAGCGCTGACACAGGTGAGCGTGGCAAAGTGTCCCACCTTCCTGGTCCCGACTGCCTGGTTCCGAGTCACTCCTCACAACTCCGCAGGGTGTGCCGCATGGCCTTTTTTTGTTTTTGTTTTTGTTTTGTTTTAGTTTGTTGAGACATGGTTTCTCTGTGGCTTTAGAGGCTGTCCTGGAACTTGCTGTTGTAGACCAGGCTGGTCTCGAACTCATAGAGATCCACCTGCCTCCCGAGTGCTGGGATTAAAGGCGTGTGCCACCACCGCCCCGGCTTGCTGCACAGCTCTTACGTAGTCAAAGTCAGATATTCAGAGCCAGCTATCTAGCATGTACGTATGGACTCAAGGTAGCGCTAGCCCAGGCCACGTTGGGAGGCTTGGAGGCCAGGACTCACCTCCATCTTCTAAAAGCCTCAGCTTGGGAGAGCAATGGGACTACAGGGCTAATGGGGAGGTTAGGGAGCTCGATACTTCCACCAGATAAAGCAGCTTGGGTTTGTCGCCTGCCCTTTTACAGAGTCCCCAGAGTCGCAGGGCCTTCCAAGTTTCTCTAGAGCAGTGCTGCACTGGCAGGAAGTTGGTTCCCTGGAGATCTAGCCCCGAGGCCCCATGGGGATGGGTCACCCTGGGCTAGGGTCTTGTTACACACGGTTGGAACGAATGTGGGTTCCTCTCTTTACCCACCCTGTGCTCAGAGTAGCCCATTTTCTAATGGTCCATCCCACCCCCTCACCCCTCCTTGTCTGTCCTGCCTGTTCTTGAGAAGGAAGAGACCCAGGCTTAATCCCGTGCCACCTCACTGACGATATTCCGGTGTGTGGAGGGTGCCACCCTCAGTCACTCACAAGACCGGCATTTCTGGTCATTTTTGCTTCAGTGAGTCAGGTCCAAAGAGGGTCATCAGGCTGGCCACTGAGTCTCCAAGGGCAGCTGTGGCCATGCTAGCCACCAAGTCCCAACAGAGCGAGCAACCTGCCTCTAGAGTATCCACACTCTGTCACACTGCCCACGACGGCCAGAGCTTCCGGGTAAATCTGGGGGCTACAGACTTCCAGCTCCCCTTGGGGGGGGAGCCTGGCCAGGCAGGAGGATCCTGGATGGACTAGCTCTTCCATGAATTCCCTGGCTTCTCATCTACATCCCCTGCTAGATGGAGAGATTCCCCCAGACCGAGGTCATGTCTCAGTGACTCTGGTCTCTCTGGTGTGTGGAGGCTGCCATAGATGGGAGGAGGAAGAGGATATTTGCTGAGTGAATAAGAACGCCTGGCCAGCCAGGCGAGTATTTGCCTCTGGAGCCAGAGCCAGTCCCTGTGCTCAAAGTGGGATCAGATTCTTCTAGAAGAGTGTGTTCCCAGTGAGTGTATGCTTCCGCCTACCCCCCCCCTCCACTCCCATCCAGTCTCGAGCTTCTGCTCCCACAGGGCCTTGCCTGGAAATTCCCCTGGATGCCTGACTTTCCTCTCTATGGAACCCAAGAATGGAGCCTCTGGCCCCCAAAGCCTTTCACCTGCCAAGCCTTTTGGTCTTTGGAAATTAAGCTGGGACCTGCTTGGACCACCGCCGCCGCAATGAAAGAACACGTCCCTATTAGCCAAACCCGTTTTCAGCGTGATCGTACAGAACGACCCGCCAGATAAAAATCCCCCCCGAGTTGCAATGCAGAGGAGGCCGGTTCCCGAGCTGCTGTTCAGCTCTGCAACTTTGGCCCCTCCTTCCTCCCCAGCTAGGTGGCCCGCTTGGTGGATGGAGGGTGGAGTGTGGCGGCCTGGGGACAGGCTGTGTTGGTATGTCTCCGTTTTTCAGGCTTCCACGTAACTCTGAGGGGGGGTCACCATTTGACCCACAGGTGTCTGGATCCCCAGCTTTCCCCACACTCTGTTTTCAGTTTCTGCACCTCCTTAGAGGGGGCAGCTTGGGCACTGACGCCCTGGTTGCCCTGGGGCAGATTTTACAAGGTGCCCTGCGAGTCAGTGCAGTTGGCAAGGAGACCTTTCTGTCCGAACAGGCCCAAGGAGCCTCTGCCTTAACTGTCATGGGCTTTTTGGAAGGGGGAGTTCTGCTCAACAGGCCTCACCCTAATGGTCCTGAGAGTTTTAGGAGAATGAGCTGCCTGGAGGGCACAGAAGGTACTCACGAACCCCCCCATCTCTTTTGTGTAGTACTTTGGATTTTATTAAACGATCCATTTCTGCTCACTCCCCGAGGGGACCTGGAGGTGAAGGGTGCACTTTTATAAATAAAAAATTAATGGGGGGGTGGGGGCGGGTGGCTTAAATATGGCTTTGGATGGTGGTGATCGTGATAGGGGAGCCGCACTGACTTAGGGCGGTTTTTTCTTTTTCTTCTGAGAAGAAATTCACCTGTAGACAGCTAAGAGCTGGTGTGGAGGGGGTGGGGGAGGGAAGCAGAGAGGGAGGGGAGGAGATGGGAAGGTTGAGGAGAGAGGAGAGGAGGGGAGGGAGACAGGGAGCAGAGGGGGAGGAGATAGGAGACCCCTCACTTGTGGCCCTGTGCTACTGCGGGGGTGGGGGGAGTTCTTGAGGGTTCCTGTCACCAGAGGCCACTGGGGCAGCTTTGATCTCTGAACACATCACTACATACAGGGTCTATGAGAGGAGAGTCCCTGGGGGAAGCCCCAAGCTGCAGGGAAACAGTGGGGAGACTCTGTGTGAGCAGCCCAGCTTCCTCTCTCAGGAAGCCAGGGTCCGGGTCCAACAATCCAGCGCATCCCCAGTTCCACATCCAACTCCATCCAGGTTCCTCCAAGTCCTCAGCGTTGGTCCCAGTGCCTGAATGGACACTGCCCTGGACCTTGTAATAACAGCACCCGCAACAGCACTGGACAGCACTCAGCACCTCTAGGGACTGTGCCCTCTTCGGGGCTACATGGTTGACGAATCATTATGGGCTGGGGTGCTGGAATTGTTTCCAGCTTTTACAAATGACAAATAAGAGTCTCAGAGAGGGGAAGCAGCTCAGCCCAAGTCCCACAGCCAGTGTGAGCTGCAGCTTTCTTCCCTCTTGTTCAACAGGCTCGCCCTGGGCTGCTTGCTCTGCCCCTGTCCTCATCAATAAGGAGCCGGTAGCACCAGCTTCTGTGTGGAGAGCAGGGCCGTCCGCCCCCTTGCACTCAGCCTGATAATTACTGGTTCCAGCTCCGACCTGCTGCTAGCCTCACATGTGAGCAGCCTCAGCCCCCAACACTAACCCACAGCCTCCTTTCTGTTTGCAACACCCTGAGCTGTCTGCTAGCCTCGCATGTGAGCAGCCTCAGCCCCCAACACTAACCCACAGCCTCCTTTCTGTTTGCAACACCCTGAGCTGTCTCTGCTTTGAGCATCTGCACACAGCTGGTTCTTCTGCTAGCTGGGGCTCTGCAAGGCCTGTGGGCTTTCCCCGGCGGCTGCCGTACAGGCCGGAGGACCTGGATACTGTCAGCTGCTCCTGCTGCGTAGGGGGCTCCATTGGAGGGATGAGGCCAGCTGGTACTTTGCTCCCCCATTTCTCTTGTGTATCCCCCCGAGCCAAGCACAGACCTGTGGATGGAAGGGAACTCACTGGCCACAGTGGCAGTTGGGCAGTCTGCAGCCGAAAGGGGGCCAGCTTCTAGTCTAGACCGTGGATGTTTCTAGCCCTCACCACCAGGGCCCAGCATCGGGCCATTTCAAGTCCACAGATGCCCCCTTGGCCATCCACACGTGGGTGAGATGGGTACCAGCCGGCTATACCGGGCAGGAGAGTGTCTCTCACACATTGGTGTCTACCTAGACCCTCGGATTGTGACCTTATTTGGAAATGTGATTTTTTTTTAGGTGTAACTGGTTAAGATGAGGTCATTTTGACTTGGGGTGAGCACCACTCTATATGACTGGCGTCTTTACAAGAAGAGGAGATGACACAGACTGGGAGGTGGAGTCAGAGGCTGGCGTGATGCGTCCGTGAGTGGAGAGGAAGGGAGGCTGGCAGAGTCCAGGCAGGCCCTCCCTCTGCAGCCTTCAAGTAAAGCTGGCCTTACCCAGCCTTAGTCTCATAATCCGCATTTCTTTCCAGCTTCTGGGTGTAGAACTGGGAAATAAAATACTTCTGCTATTTAGGCCACCCAGTTTCTGCCCATTTATCACGGACAGCCACCCACCATGCTTCCTCATAAGCTTCCAGACAAAATCTATAACGTGGGGCTGTTTCCTGTGGAACAGGAACCGGGCACCATGGCTTCCGTACCCAGCCCAACCCAAGAGACCCTGGGAGATTCCCTTGAGGAGTATTTTGTGCAATTTCTTCTTATTGTGAAAGAACACATGCAATGTTTAGTGTGTCACCCATTCGGGATGTTTGAAGCCTTGTATCATTGCTACAACTTTGTATCTTTTTTAACCTACCCCCGCATTAAAGGTCGCATTCCCTTCTCCCATGGTTCCTTGTAACTCCCGTTGACTTTATGTCTCTTTTTAATTACACAAATTATTCATTGCACCTGTGCATGCACACACAGTCATGCCTAGGCAACTGTGTGCCTCTGCACATACATGCAAGCCAGAGGACAATGTGTGATACTCAGCTCTGTTTTCACCATGTGGGCGGGCCCTGGGGTCAAACCCCAGGAGCCTTAACCCTCTGAGCAGCTCTCAAGCCTCTTACTCTCTGTCCTTGAGTTTGGTTAACACTAGGACCCCATTTGCTATATCTTGAATATGACATACTCTCTCTGGGCTCATCTGTTTGAACATGTGGTCCAGGCTACTGAAATTGTATTGGGAGGTTAGGAAATCTTTGAGATACAGGGCCCAGATCCCCTCCTCCCTCGTTCATTCCCTCCAGCTGGTGGAGATGGACCACCAGGACAGGCGTTGAGGGCTATGTCCTGGCCCTGTGTCTCATCCTGACTCTGCCTCCCATTTTGCTTTTGCGACCAGCAAGTTCAGGAAGGAGGTTGGCCGCTCTAACTTGTTATCCAAGGCATCCCCACCTCCTTCAGCCTGATTTTAGGACCCAATCCTCCCAGGGAGGACAACGGAAGGCTGACACAGGAGAGAGATGGCGTGTAAACGAAAAGCCATCCACAGTGTCATGACCGGGCTCTGCAAACCATACGCTCCCACACCCCGCTAAACCAGCCCAGCGTTGGCCATATCTGCCCAGTGTCTACTCGGTGGGCACACCTTGACTCCTTTCCCCTTTGTCTCTTTAAAAACATGCCTCTCTTCAATGTGGAGGACCAGCCAGGACAGTGTCCCCAGCCGCTGTTAGGATGGGTCTGTGTGTCACGGACCTTCGAGTCCCAGCTGGCATCTCCCGGGAAGTGGGGTCTACTCATCTCTCACCATGGGGTGGGCACTGCTGAGACACACTTTGTGTGTCTTCACTGGGGGAGATGGAGGTTGGGCTGAACGAATGCTCAGGGCAGGGTTTGGGGTATAGTCCAGTGGTAGAAGGCTTTGACCAAGGTTTTAGGTTGAATTCCCAGCACTACAAATGGATGGACAGACAGACAGACAGACAGACAGGCAAGCCCCAACGCAGGGCAGACAGCACCTTGCAGCACTCACACCTCCAGGGTTCAGACTTCTTAGATGAACATGTTTTGGTGTATTTTTTTTTGAGACAGGGTTTCTCTGTGTAGCCCTGGCTGTCCTGGAACTCACTCTGTAGACCAGGCTGGCCCAAGACTCAGAGATTCACCTGCCTCTTCCTCTCAAGTGCTGGGATTAAAGGCGTGCACCACCACTACCCAGATTTTTGGTTTGGTTTCGTTTTTTAGATGGGCATGTTTTGGTATCAGTAGTTTAGATGTGGCTTTTCTCCTTTGGGAGACAGAGGGAAAAAAATCTCATTTCCTACACAAATCCCCAGAGAAGCCCACATGTCCCCTCCTCTAAGATGTCCAAAACTCTGCCTCAATTGATGACAGTCCTACTCAGTGAAAGTTGAAAATGGGGCTGAGTTCTGAGAAAGTTGTGCATAGAGGTTCCGGGGACTTGGTGGGGGCAGCCCAGGATTAGGAATGGTCCTCAACCTACCTTGTGTGGTCGCTAAAGAATGGTCACAGGAGCACACAGGAGCTGTTTGAATTTAAACAACAACTAGACCCCCACTTATGGCAGTAGATGAAAGTCAGGTAGAAACTTCTACTTGGAAAGAGACAGGGGACTTGGAGTCCGCAACTCCTCCAGCCTCCCACCAGAAGGAGAAAGAAGAGGTACCATGGGGGTGGAAAGCCAGGCCCAGTTCCCTTTAGGTGGGGCTCCGCATCAGTCCTCCAATCCCTTCGTCTCCAAGGCTCTTAGGCTATTCATTTGTGCAAAGTTGGGAGGGGCAGAGCTTGACCACTGTGGAGAGAACAGAGCGGCCCATGGAAACCAGGGAGACCTGCTCCTGGCAGAGCACAAGCCCTTCCTTAGGCTCACCTAGGCTGAGGTTCACCTAGACAAGGCGGCCAGGATGGGCCTTCCATAGCCCCGGGGCCCAGAAAAGGGGGGAAGCTTGGAGTAAGTGGAGACTTCTACACGCTCTGTCCTAGCAGCTCATTTTGGTAAGCTGGGTGTGTGTGTGTGGAGGGGGGGCGGTCCTCAGACATCACATTTGCATTGGAGTCATTAGGACCATGGGTTCCCTCTTCCAGGGGGTGTGACGCAAACATGAGTGGGCGCAACATCACATCCATAAGAGAGATCACAGCCCAGCCTTAGACAGTGTCAGTGTCACTGGAAACTGAGCATCCTCATGACAAAACCAAGAGTAACCGGTGGGTAGCAGCCTGTACCCAGGCTTGTGTGGTCGCCGTTGGGACACTTCGAAAATCTTATCCAATCCTGGAGAGCCCTGCCAGGTGGTGCTTGGGTCTTTAGGCTCCTGTGAGGGGGCCAAGGCCATTCCCACGATGGCCACTGGCCTTAAGCATCTGTCTTTTGGGTGATTTTATCAGTTGCTCTTCTTGTCGTTGTGACAAAATGCAAAAGCAACTCAAGGAATTCACAGTTTAGGTGCAGTTCATCAAAACGGGGAGGCAGCCTGAGATGGAGGAGGCATGGCAGCCTGAGATGGAGGAGGCATGGCAGCCTGAGATGGAGGAGGCTGCTCACATGGCACCCGCAGCCAGGAAGCAGAAGGTGGGGAATGCTGGCGCTAAGCTCACCGTCAGGGTCCTCCGGCCATCAACCAGGTACAGCTGCCTCATGTACTCATAAGAGAAGACGTGACTCAACCCTCATAGAGAGTACGTGACTCTGGACCACTTTGCTACCTGCCAAACTCCAGAAACAGACCTGCGGCTTATCTAGAGCATAGACTTAAACAACAGAAGGTGGATTGTGAAAGATAAAATTAGTCTGCAGTCAGGTTACCAGAGGACACAGGATGACCTACCCATCCCACTGACCTTCCGCTCCGCCAGGCTCATCGCAGCTGCAGCACTTCCTCCCCCTCCTCCCTTCCCCTATGTAAATCCCTTTGGGGTGAAATAAAAGTTGTCACCTTGATCAGACTCCTGTCTTGGTGTCCGTCTTTGTGTCCCCTGCTCCCCATCTTCCTCCTAGGTGTCTATCAAACCCACGAGTGTCCTGCGGGTCGGGACATTAGCTCGCTTTTTATTCAGTTTGGGGTTTCAACCCAAGAGACGGTGCCACACACATTTAAGGCGGGTCTTTCCAACCTCACTTTAATCCCATCTAGGAACTTCCTCATAGACATGTCTGGAGGTTTGTCTTCTCGGTTATCCTGTCAAACTGGCCACCGATACTGGCCATCACGGGGCCTGAGGCTGCAGGGAGCGCTGTCGGTGACCTGCAAAGCAAGCTGGTGTCCAGTCCTCAAGCAGGTCCTGCCCCTGTGGCTTCCTTTCTGGTCCCAGAGCCCTGCAGACCCAGCAGGCAGCTCAAGGCCACACGGTTACTGCCCATCTTCTCCAGGAGGGAGTCACGTTTGTTTCCATAGCCTAAGGAAGGTCTTTTCCATCGTGGATAGAGCTACTGAAGCGAGGCCACCCTCCAAGGCTTGCCTCCTCCTGCCGCTGACACAGGACCCCAGAGACACCGCTCTGCCTCTCTCCCCCTGAAAAAAACTACCCAGCCCTGCAAATCCATCTCTGAAACTACAGAGGAGCCTGGGGACCAGAGCAGTTTCTGCTGCTGTTGGGCTGCCGGCAGCTAAGGCGGCCCGCTCAGATCTCTGAGCTACTGTTTGTGCTTGGGCTGCAGATTGAAGCACATAGAGTTGCTGAGCCACAAGCAAAGCTGGGCCCAGATGTCGACCACGCCCCCAGGTCAGTGCTTCCGGGCCACTGGGCTCCAGCCCTGCTGTGCCAGGCGCCTTTGATTTTCTGTTGTTTTTGCTTTGGAGTGTGAGTCTGGTTGCCCCCAGGGGGCAGCCTGCCCTGAGCTAGCTGGTTCCCAGACTCCTATCAGCTAGTCTGGAAGTGTGCTTGTTGGTTGCAAACCTCCAGTCAGTGGGGGGAGGGGGGGAGGGCGCTTCAACATTCCAGGCTCCCGTTCAATTCTTCCAGAGCCACCTACCTCCAGGCAAATTACTGAAGTCAAGAGCCTGCTGCTGCTATTCAAACCAGCCAGTTCAACTTGCCAGGGCTCACCTGCTCTGTCCCTACAAACAAAAGGTAAACTCTTATCTGTGTCCTCCCCCACCCTGCTCCGTCCACCTGCCCCTTACCCTAGCCTGGTCCCTTGCTGTACAGTGCTCCCTTCCCACGGTCTGTGCCCCTTACCACACAGAGCAAGAACAAAACCCAGGCACTCACACTGCTGCCCCAGCCCAGGACTGGGGAGAAAACTCGCTCAGTAAAGTGCTTATCTCACAGCAGAATACACATAAAAATGCAGGGTACTGTGCTCTGAGCTTGTAACCACTCACTGGAGAGGTAGAGACAGGAGGAGTCCTGGGGCTTGTTGGATGGCCAGCTTAGCCTAACTGGTGAGCCCCAGGCCAAAGCAGTTGGCTCGTATTTCTGATAATGACACAAGTGGTTGTCGTCTGGCCTCCACAAGCATGCACACATATGTGTACATGCACTTATAAATATGGACACACACACATGTATGCACACATACATACAGACACGCATGTACACACATGTACACACATGCGTTTTTTAAGAAGCCTGACCATTCGGGCGTCGTTGCACCCCCCCCCCCACATCATACCTTCCAGTGTACCGCTAAGGATCATGGGTTCTGTAAGTCAGAGTCAACTGAAAGGGATGTCACTGAGGGCTTCCCCGGGGGTGGAGAACTAGTCAGCACTTAGCTTAGCTTGTAGTCACTGGCTAGACCTGATTGCCACCGCAAAGACACCTTAAAAATAAAACAAAAACCACCAACCCTAATTCACTTTCAGGATTGACATGTGTGTGCTCATGTGCTCATCAATTTTCGGGCCTTCTGGGAAGGGTGTCAGAAGC